AAGGAGATTGGCCCCAAAGAACCAAAGATATATGGGATTAATTGGTGGGGATGAAAGGATGAAGGGTGGGTTAAAGATCTAGTAGACAAGGTAAGATTGAATAACAGAGGGAGTGATGTTTTAGAGGAGATGAGATAGAGGGGATTACTTGTGAAGGCAGAGGGGTGGCCCTTGGTAAGAAGTAAGGTTACCTCATCATTTGAGACAGCAGTGAAAGAGAATATAATGGCAGAAGGCTCCTAAGTGATATGAAATGAAGGAGATGGGATAATAAGGAAGGCATGGCAAATGACCTCAATTTTTTCTGTAAAATGTGAGGCAAAGTTTTCACCTAAGAGATTTGGGGGAGTGGGAGCCATGGGAAAGTTTAGGAAAGATGAAAAAGTTTGGAATCAGTGGAGATTCCTATGGAATGTGAGATAGTGAGTTGATGAAGGCTATTTAGATAGTAAGATTGTCTAGCAGCATAGAAGGCCCAATTGAGGTTGTACAATGTGAATTGGTAATGTCCCCTGTCAGAATGGTTGCATGATTTTCTCAGCAGCAATTATATAGGAGTGAAAGCAATGAATGGTAGCTGTCATCCAAGGTGGATTCTTGGCAGGAAACAGTCAATGATATGATTAAGGCTCCAGGGACTCAAAGGAAGAGGACAGTTGAATTTGTTCACCCAGGGACCAAGATGGAGAAAAGAGCAGAGAGTGACTAGTGCACAGGTGATATCTGGGAAGGAACTGAGTAGTCAAAGGATTTGAGAGTATGTATCTTAAGCAGGATTCAAAGTCAGGTCTTCCTAATGCCAACTCTATCACTCTATCCACTCTACCAACTAACTATCTAGCTAGTATAAGTCTTATCACTCCTATTTTATTGATGAGAAATATAAGGTTAATAGTTTAAGTCACATGCCCAAGGTCACAGTTCATACCAGGGAGATCCTTGATTTAGACTTAGGTTTTCTGACTAATGTTGCTCCTAGACAACTCACTCCCCTCATCCATAAGAGTCAATATCCTTATCCACTGCACCACCTAACTGCCCCCAAGTTCCTTTTAATTGAATGTCTTCCCCACTAATGAGATATTGGAGTCCTTATTCACCAAAGTCCTGCTGACATAGGGGGGTGAAGTGATGTAAGGACATTTAATGGTAATATAATTGTTTTTAATAGTATTTTATTTTGTCTCCAATTACATGTCAAGACAGTTTTCAGCACTAATTTTTACAAAGTTAAGTTCAAATTTTCCTCCCTCCCTCATCTCCCCTCTTCCTAAAATGCTAGTCAATTTGATGTTCATTGTGCATATGCTATCTTGTAAAACATATTTCCATATTATTCAACGTTGTGAAAGAAAAAACAGATCCAAAGTGGGAAAAACATTGAAAAAAATAAATTGAAAAAAGTATGATTCAATTGGTATTCAGAGTGCATCAGTTCTTTATCTGGATGTGGATAGCATTTTACTATGTGTAACCTTTGTACTTGCCTTGTATCATTGTATTGCTGAGAAGAGTTGAGTCATTCATACTTGATCATCTCACAATATTGCTGACATTATGTAGAATATTTTCCTGGTTCTGCTCATACCACTTTGCATCAGGTCATGCAAGACTTTCTAGGATTTTCTGAAATCTAACTGTACATCATTTCTTATTACATAATCGTATTCCATTACGTTCATGTACCAGAGCTTATTCAGTCATTCCCCAATGGTTGGGTATCAACCCAATTTCCAATATTTTTCCACCACAAAAAGGGCTGCTATAAATATTTTTTACACATTTAGATCCTTTCACCTTTTTAATGATCTTTTTGGAATACAGACCTATTAGTGGTATTGCTGGATCAAAGAGTGTGCACATTTTGTTTGCCCTTTGGATATCATTTCAAATTACTCCATGGAATGATTGGATCAGTCCATAACTCTGCAAACAGTGTATTGAGTCCCAATTTTCCAACATCCTCTCCAACATTTATCATATTTTTTTCTGTCATACTAGTCAATCTGATAGGTGTGAGCTGTTACTCTGAGCTATTTTTTTGCATTTCTGTAATCAAAAGTGATTTAGAGCACTTCTTCTTATGCCTATAGATCGCTTTGATTTCTTCATCTGAAAATTGCATGTTCATGTCCTTTGACTATCAATTGGGTAATGACTTGTATTCTTTCATAATTTCTTAAAAGATTCTATCTTTTTGATTATGTTTTTCAGGTACTCCAATGGTTCCAACACTGTCTCCCCTGGATCAGTTTTTGAGATCAGTTGTTTTTCCAATGAAATATCTTACATTTTCCTCTATTTTTCATTCATTTGAATTTCATTGTGATCCTTGATGTCTCATTAACTTCCACTTGCCCAAATCTAATTTTTAAGTTGTTTTCTCTGGTTAACTTTTGTACTTCCTTTTCCATTTGGCCAGTTCTACTTTCTAAGCAATTGTTTTCTTTTTCCAAGCTGTTGACTCTTTTTTCATAATTCTCTTGCATCACTGTACTTTTTTTTCCCAATTTTTCTTTCACCTATCTTATATAATTTTAAGCTCCTTTCTGAGTTCTTCCATGAATTCTTTCTGGGCTTGAGAATATTTACCAGTTTTCTTTGGGATTTTGCCCCTGGGTGTTTGCGTCTTGATCTTCCCTGTCATTCTAATAACCTTCTAAGATCAGATTCTTCTTTTCTTGTTTTTTTTTCTTTGCTCATCTTTTTTGACCTTTTCCCTTCCTTTTAAATTTGATTAGAAGTGGCACTGTCTCAGGATCCTTTTGCCAGTAGCTGCAGAACCTGGCTATTTACCAAGTGTTGCAATGATGTTGCCTTGAGGCCTCTAGGGGACCCTTGTTTGGATTGCTTTTATTTGTGGATTGGTTGTACTTGTTAGTTAAGTAGTGACATTGTTTTTGAGGGTTCATCTTTAAAATAGGACAGATATGCTGTGAGAGTGTTGAGGAGGTAGCAGCAGTTTCTATTAGCCCTCCCTAAGAGCAAATAAACACCTTTCGATTGTAAAAGAAATATAGTCTCCCCATGCCCCCAAAAACACCCACTCAGAAGCCCAAAACAGGACTTTTTTAAAACACTCAATTTAACTAACTGTGGGGCATATTATTCAGGGTCCCAGTCACTTCAAGCTTTTGCCATTGCCTCTATGTTTGAAGCCTGGATCATGAATCCAATGGGAGGATTCCATTTTATTGGTTATAACAGAATGATACAAAAATCCCTCCTCCTCCTCATGCTGGGAAAAAAATCAGTTGCAGTCTGCTCCACAGAGCAGCAATTTTTGTAAAGGGAACATCTTGTATCCTCTTTCACCTCTATGCCTAATCTCATGATGCTACCACAGTCATAATCATTAAAATAACTGGAAGTACATCTGCCTATGGGGAAAGGGAGCAGCCTCACCAAGAAATAGAACTTAACCTCAGAATTGAGGAACCATAGCATGTTAGACCCTTACCTATGGGGTTCATTACACTTGGGAGTCTTTCTAAAAACTCAGGCTGCACTCTGCATCCTTGGTATAAGTAGCAACATAGGCACCCAAATTGGATAATTAAATTCCATGCAATGTAATTCTACCTTCATCCTGAACTCCTCATGGGTTGCTTCCCTAAATGCCTCATTTGATTCCTCTGGCCAGCTTCTGTGGCCACAGATTTCCCTGAACAGGGCTGGGGCATCTTATAATACTACAAATGATCCCTGTACCAAGTGGAATGAAGGACCTGCCCTAACTAATCAGACATCAGACTCTTGATTTCTGTTCAAAATAAAGGCAACTGTAAAGGCATCTATTCAATTTCTGGTATAGTCTGGGAATCTCAGAGTCACCTCTTGTTCCCATGCCTAGAAGCACTCTACTCCTCAAGTTTAATTCATTCTGCCTTGGATTCATCCACTAATACCCACACCTTTGCAGTTGAATTTTCTCTTCCTCAGGACTATTTTTCTTATGCTGGTACACTCTCTATCACAGCTTCCCTACCTTCAGGGAAAGTCTAGGCACCTTTTTCTACAGCATGCCTAAATTATCCCTATTTCCAGAAAACCACTCCACTGAAGTTTCTTTCCAGTTAAGATAGGCCCTCCAGTGACAGTGGAAGCTCACTTTCATGCCATGGAGTGTCTGTTGACAGCAATTTGGTCCCTCACTGGTATTGCAACCACTTTCGATTCCCTGGACCTCTCATTCAGGAACTTTTTGGCCAAGTTAACCACAGGTCTGGAGCTTACTGAAAGGTTAATCACCAGCCTCCAAACACAGATTGACCCACTTGTTTTCATGCTCCTGCAAAATCATTGGGTGCTTGACACCCTAACTGCCAAGTAATGAGGGGCATGTGCTGTAATTGGGAAAGAATGCTGTTTCTAGGTCAACCAGTCCTCTCTCGCAGAGGAAGACCTTTAATGCTTTAAACAGGCAAGCTGATCAATGGAACAGAGGCCAAAACATTTTGAATCAGGTCTCACTCTCATCTTCCTTTGACTTATTCTCCTGGTTACCTGGAAATGTGGACAGCATTCTCCCCTCTGCTCTCTCTGCCCTGATGTTTCTCCTCCTTATTTGCTTTGCTGTCTATCTTGGCATTCATCTTGTATCTCAGCTATTCATGCCTGCTTTACATAAAATCAAAACCATATTTCGAGTGGATCCAACTTCTTGGTCTGCAGTACTGTCCCAGCCTTTGACTGGAAGGAGGAAATGCCATTCTATTTCTCTATATCCTTCAAGTATGATGAACTTTGCAATGACTCAAAAATATTTGTCATATTGATGGTTCCAGTCCAACCATGAGCAAGATGCCTTTTGGAGACTCAGAACTAATACACTTAGTCCAGTTCAGGGCTGTGCATCCACAGAATAATCTAGAATCAGCCAAGTACTAAGTAGCTGGGGATTGTATTTTTGTCTTTATATCTAGAAACCAGTATGATGAAAGTTGAGTGAAACAAACATCATAAAGAGAAGCAAGAATCAATGTTTAATTAAAGGTGTATTTATTGGTATTATAAAGAAATGATGGAGCAGATCAAGAGGTATGTACTATCCCAATATCCTGGTCCACATGAGGACTTCAAGGGAGCCTCCTGAATGGACATCTTCCTTTTTATTCACTGAAAGAAGAAAGGAAGAGGCTTAGAGGAGATACACTGTGCTTGACTTGGTCTTTTGGATAATGGCAGTAGCAATGCCAATGCCATACATTCCAGAAATTTTAAAAAGAAAACAACACAAAATTTGGAGAGACCCTTGGCAGGGAGGATGAGTAGCATGAAGGAAAGGGAGAAAAGAATAGGTGAAGTTTTGATATCTCTGTCTCTGCCTCTGTCTCTGTCTCTCTCTCTCCCCCTCTCCTTCTCCCCCTCCTTCCCTTTCTCTATCTCTATATCTCTGTCTCTGACTCTGTCTGCCTCCCACTTTCTCTGTCTCTTTCTCTCTCTCTCTGTCTCTATTATTGAGAACGGTTCTGAGATAAGCAAAGGTGAGTAAATAGTTGGAAGAAAAGAAGTGTGATGAACAGTCAGACAAATAGGAAAGGAGAAAGAGCTCTAAAGAAATTTTGTGACTGATACGATGTCAGTTGACAGCAAGTATATGTTCAAATATGGACATTGGTTCACTGAGAAGAACAAAGAAATATCTTGTGGGTGGGAAGAGTGGATACCCTCCTTACTGGCCACGTGGATGGCCTCCCTGCTGGCCATCTGGATGACCTCCCTGCTGGCCACCTGGATGGCCACCCTGCTGGCCACCTGGATGACCTCCTTGTGGGCTACCTGGATGGCCTCCTTGTGGGCTACCTGGATGGCCTCCTTGCTGGCCACCTTGCTGACCTCCTTGTGGTCCACCTGGATGGCCTTCTTGTTGGCCATATTGCTGACCTCCTTGTGGGCCACCTGGACGGCCTCCATGCTGACCACCTGGATGACCTCTTTGGTGGCCACCCGGATGGCCTCCTTGCTGACCACCTCGATGGCCTCCTTGCTGTCCACCCTGCTGAACTCCTTGCTGTCCACCTGGAGGATCTCCTTGGTGGCCACCTGGAGGTCCAGGTTTCTGGTTACCACCTTGTTGCTGGCCAGGGTTCTGATCATCCTGCTGGGAGTCTAATGGTTCTACATCTACTGGATCTTCTGAATTTTGTTCATCCTCTAAGGGAAGACAGCACCGGTATGAAAAAGACGGATGAAGAAAAAGCCTGAGAGGCAGTGGATGCAAACAGAATGTTCATTATCATAGGCTAATTGTCCAAAAATAGAGTCCTTGCTACCTTCCCAGTAGTGATGAATGAGGATGACCCAGACTTACATGGTGGATGTCTAATAAGGCTACAAAAGATACAGGCTTGTCTCAGGCTCAAACTAAGGCTGTACAGAATTATGTGACTGATGATCATATAAGTGATTGTCAGGGAACAGGCCTAGCCTAGATTTATATAATGATAGTAGCAGAAGGCATTCACAATTTGCTGTATCAAAAAGAATGAGTTATCCCTCTATATGTGTCTTAGTCACTCATGTTTCTTACATGTGCATCTACTTATTTGTGGATGCCCACATGTCCTGCATGTATTGATATCTCCTACATATTTCTTTTACAATTCCAATCTTCTACTTAGTGTATATGAAGAAAAGTAAATTCAAGCTCCATGAGACTGTGAAAGTATTTATTTTACATCATTTTTTTTGGTATTCATTATGAACTGTGTCCATCAGTCAATATTTCTTAAGTGTCTAAAATGTTCCAGGTCCTATGACTGACCGGTACAAAGTAAAAGATCTCAGTGGAGCCACCACCCCAAACAACTTCCTAACATGATCATAGATTCTCTGTGTCCCCCACTTACCCTCATCAGTGAATTGAGCAGAGCTCAGGCCCAACAGGGCTACTGAGAAGAGGAGCAGTAACCACTTGGTAGCAGCCATGGTGTCAATGTTACCTGTGATGCATGGACTGAGGGCAACTACTCTTATAAGGACCTCCAAGAACAATGTCCACTTTGAAATGTCACACTCAATCCCTTCACTGAAGGTGTTGTTCATGTCCAGATCACTCTCATCCCTAAGTTTTGGTTGTATTCAGTTTGAGGTCTGGCAAAAGCTCCTGACCAAAAAGTACTGCCAGATATAAATTTGCTAAAGCTTTTGATGCCACCTTGCCCAGAAACCCCAAACATAATGTTGTGATTACAATAATGGGTAATCTTCCATCTTGTGATTTCTCTCCCCTACAGAAACCTGGACTCCTTCAGGGTATTTTGACATCCTGTTTTTCACATGTCATTTAAATGTCATTGACTCATGTCCTTTCACTAGCTTTCTTCGAGTGCAGAGGATGAGCCAGTGAGGTCAATATACAACGGAAGGATAAAATAACAGAAATAAAATCATTTGTCCAGGCAATCTCCTGCCCCATTCTCTCCTATTAGAAGCTGAATAAACGTCAGCATCTGTACTGTACTCTTTGGTCACCTGGGGATACCAGGCTTTATGGGAACAGGCTACCATGTGTCTTTCCATCATTTTTTCTTCACCAGTACCTTAAATATTTCCCCAAACTTAACTAATTTACTTCAACTAAATGTTTGGTATTCAGAATCCATAGTTCCCCAAAGCTAATGTATCTCTCCATCCTTTCCCCAACTCTTCTGCTCACCCAATCCCTCTTAGCTGAACTACTGCTGTAGGTGAAGATGCTTTCCCTCTATTATTTCTTTTTGATATCCTATCTCCAATTGATTTAGTCCATTCCCTTCCTCAATTCATAGGCTTATGAAAACTATTTCATAGACTTAGAGTGGGAAGGGATTTTACAGGCCATGTAGTCTAATCCTCTTATTTTCCAGGTGAAGAACATTGAGCTAAATAGGCAAACTGATTTGTCCACAGTCAGAAAATAGATAGCAGAGCCGGTACCAACGGTTACCTACCAGTTTCTCTATTAAGTGAGAAATGATTCATCACTTATTATCTTGCACTGAGACTGTTCTTTACAATTAGTCATAATTGGGGTTTTTATTAATATTACTATCATCATCGTGCATATTGTTCTCCTAGTTCAGCTTATTTCCCTTTATCTGAGTTCACAAAATTTTTCTTCTGTTTCTCTGAACTTATCATATTGTTCATTTCTGATAATTAAGTAAGTAGTTCATTATATTTATATGATCATTATTTGTTCGGCTGTCCTCTACTACATGGGCATTTATGTCATTTCAACTGTCGTTTTCTACAATTATAAGCAAAGTTATGAATAGCTTCTTACATATATGATTGAAACCTTTGACTTTGACCTCCTTGACCTATATATGAACTAGTGAGATTGAGAAAAAGGAAATAAACAAGTTATTAACTATGCCTTCTTAATTCCAATTTATTTTGAAAAATATGTGGATATATTCACAGCTTGACTGAAACTAGATAAATGTGTCTGTCTTCCCATTGTTGTTGTTCACTCTTTTCAGATGTGTCTGAGACTTTGTGATCCCATTTGGTGTTTTCTTGGCAAAGATATTGGAGTAGTCTGCCATTTCCTTCTCCAGCTCATTATACAGATGAGGCACTGAAGCTAACAAGGTTAAGTGACTTGCATATGGTGACATAAATAGTAGGTGTCTGAGGACAGAGCTGACCTCATGAAGATGAGTCTTTCCCATTCCAGTCCCCAGCACTGTATCCACTGCACCACTTTATTGTCTATTATCCAACAAAAATAAACTGTATCCATCTTTATATAATTTTATTTTTGAGAATTACAAGGTTAAACTTCAGAGTTCTTTTCATTTACAGTCATCTTATAATTAATGATTTGAAGTAATTTTAAAAATGGTTGTAGATGCTTTGAAATTCTTTGGAAAAAATCTTCAATTTCTTATTCTCACAGACTTGCCATTTATTTTTACTGCACTGATTTTTTTTTCTTTTTTCATTCTTATTTACTGTTACAAGAGAGGCCCTCCTAGGCAAGGGAATGATGAGATATATTTGGAAATTAGATTGCTCAAAAACAAAAGATATAAATATATTTTTTTAAAAAAGAAAACAGTTAATGTGCACCTTTGCCACTTAATTATTGGGGAATATTCTTGGTCATCTATTGGTCTCAGTCTGATATACAACTTGAATATTCAATTATCTGAGATATTTATTTGAAATGTTTTTCTGAGGCACTATTTGTCTACTGTGGTGCAATATAAAAACACATTTTTTAAACTCTTTTGCTTTTGATCACTAAAACTATTTCTCCCAGTATCAATTTCCTTACTTGAGAACACTTCCATATAATAAATAATGTTTTTTAAGGATAATATGTTAAAGAAGAGGGGAAGAAACATTAAACATGATCAATATATTGAAAAAGCCTGAAAATATATAGAACATACCCCATTCATTGACCTTCCACCTCTACAAAGGAGTGCTGTGGGCATATCTTCTCACATCTTTTCTGTGGATCATTCTATTTTTTTTTAAATTTTACAATATGGAGCCAATAACTTGGAAAACAAAGCACAAAAATTGACTGAAGAAAAGAAATTTTTAAAAAATTAAATTGGCCAAATTGAAAAAAAATTTATCCACTGAAGAAAACAACTCCTTTAAAAATACAAAGGGCCAGGGGCAGCTAGGTGGCACAGTGGATAGAGGACCAGCCTTGAAGGCAGGAGGACCTGAGTTCAAATCTGGCCTCAGATCAAACACTTAATACTTACTAGCTGTGTGACCCTGGGCAAGTCACTTAACCCCATTTGCCTGGAAAAAAATACAAAAGGCCAAATGGAAAAAGAGGTACAAAAGCTAACTGGAGAGAATAACTCCATAAAAATTTGAATTGGGCAAGTAGAAGCTAATGATTCTATGAGACATCCAGAATCAGTCAAACAAAATCAAAAGAATGAAAAATTAAAGGAAAATGTAAATTCTCCCATTGGAATGACAACTGACCTGGAAAATAGATCCAGCAGAGACAATTTAAGAATCATTGGGCTACCTGAAAGCCACGATTAGAAAAAGAGCATGGACAGTATCTTTCAAGAAATTATCAAGGAGAACTGTCCTGTTATCTGAGAACCAGAGGGTAAAATAGTCACTTAAAAATTCCACTGATCAAGGGGGCAGAGCCAAGGTGGCGGAGGGAAAGCAGTGACTTGCTTGAGCTCTCCCTCAAACCCCTCCAAATGCCTATAAAAATGTCTCTAAACAAATTCTAAAGCAGCCGAACCCACAAAAAAAACAGAGTAAAACAAATTTCCAGCCCAAGACAATCTGGATGGCTGATGAGAAAGGTATGTTGCACCGGACGGGGAGAGGAGCACAGTTCAGCCTGGGCACACAGGCCGCAGGGACCCTGGAGCAGTCCTCAGAGGACTGAATCGTGGGCAGCTGTGGCTTTTCCAGACTTCTCAACCCACAAACACCAAAGACAACTTAGAAGGTCAGTGGGAAAAGTCTGTGACTGCGGTGAGAGCAGAAGCTAGGTCTCAGCTGCCCTCAGGGCAGCGGCTGCCTCCTGAGCTTCTGGCCCACAGACTGAGGTGGAATCGAGTGGCTGATCAGAGGGGGATTGCAAGGATCTCTTTGCCAGTGCTAAGGCACGAATCTCTTGCTTTTCCCATGCTTGGATCTGGGTCACAGTTCTGAGGGGCAGTCCTGGGGCGAAGAGGTGTGGTGGAGCTTGTTGTGGCTGTGGAGAGAAAACACCTCGCCCCTTATCATAGAACCTTGGAAGAACTGAAAATTTACAGGTCCCTAGAAGTATTTCTGAAAACAGCTGAACAAACCCCCAAAGCTTGGGACAGTACATTTTCCACTCTTACCTTAACAAAGAGTTTAAAACTCAAGTAATTGGTTGGGATCATGAGCAAGCAGTGCAAAAAGAGTCAGACTATAGGTCCTTTGGTGACAAAGAAGATCAAAACATACAAACAGAAGAAGACAACAAAGAGAAAGCGCCTACATCCAAAGCCTCCAAGAAAAATATGAATCAGTCCCAGGCCTTGGAAGAGCTCAAAAGGGATTTTGAGAAGCAAGTAAGAGAAGTAGAGGAAAAACTGGGAAGAGAAATGAGAGTGATGCAGGAAAATCATGAAAAGCAAGTTAACAGCTTGCTAAAGGAGACCCAAAAAAATACGGAAGAAAATAATACCTTAAAAAATAGCCTAACCCAAATGGCAAAAGAAGTCCAAAAGGCCAATGAAGAGAAGAATGCCCTAAAAAGCAAAATTGGACAAATGGAAAAGGAAGTCTAAAAGATTACTGAAGAAAATACTTCCTTAAAAATTAGAATAGAGCGATTGGAAGCTAGTGACGTTATGAGAAATCAAGACACTGTAAAACAAATCCAAAAGAATGAAAAATTAAAAAAAACAATGTGAAATATCTCATTGGAAAAACAACTGACCGGGAAAATAGATCCAGGAGAGAGCATTTAAAAATTATTGGACTACCTGAAAGCCATGACCAAAAAAAGAACCTAGACATCATCTTTCCAGAAATTATCAAAGAAAACTGCCCTGATATTTTAGAACCAGAGGGCAAAATATAAATTGAAAGAATCCACTGATCTCCTCCTGAAAGAGATCCCCAAAGGAAAACTCCTAGGAATATTGTAGCCAAATTCCAGAGTTCCCAGGTCAAGGAAAAAATATTGCAAGCAGCCAGAAAGAAACAATTTAAGTATTGTGGAAACACAATCAGGGTAACACAAGATTTAGCAGCTTCTACATTAAGGGACCACAGGGTTTGGAATATAATATTCTGGAGGGCAAAGGAGATAGGATTACAACCAAGAATCACCTACCCAGCAAAACTGAGCATAATTCTTCAGCTGAAAAAATGGTCATTCAGTGAAATAGAGGACTTTCAAGCATTCTTGATGAAAAGACCAGAGCTGAATAGAAAATTTGACTTTTAAATACAAGACTCAAGTGGAAC